TCATCTTTCTCTTCGGCTTATACACACAGTACAGTTAGCCACTTTGTCATTGCCTTGGCAAATTATACTGTATATCACGAGGTGAGGTTCCCACCTTGATCTCCCACCTTCTTATCCTTTGCCAACCGTTCTCTCTCTCCTGTATGGTCATGTGCCAGCCTTTCTGCAACCTTCTCTTTTCGTATTGGAACTGCCCAACCCAAATACACGGTAGCATAAGTTCCTTCTCCGACTTTCTTGTCCTTGATAAAGTGTGACCATTTGGATGAGGAGGTCGTTGACCGGAACGACCGCGTGGGTTCTAGATCCGCCATAACAAGCAGGACGAATTAAAAATGTTCTTGTGGATGCAGTAAAGTAATGCTGAACCAACGCAAGTTAAACAGCTGCAGGAAGCACGTCCACGTGACCATCACTGAGTCATCAAGATACAATGTTCGAAGTTCCAACTCGTAAAACGTAAAACGATCAACGGAACATGCCCAGCGACGCAGAAAATCTTCGGTTACGTCGCGAGGCTCGTAGAAAGAAAATCCTTGTTTCTGGGGAAGATCGCTTAAGTCGAATTGTCAATACCTTTTCTGGTCACCCAACACAACCTTCATCGACCGAGACGGAAGGAGCGCCCACTGCTTCCGATGTACATCCCGCTGACGAGAATGTACCGACCGCTGCCAAAGAGACGGCGGTACCAAGTGATGATTCTGTAAATGTTGATACCCCGGTGAAGCCGATAGATTCAAGATTGCGAGAAAGATTGAAGGCAACAGTTGTCCAATCGCCAAGTGTATCTCGTACCCCAGATAGGAGTACACCTATCACTCAGCGAGATGAATCAGAGACGAGCCCGTTGCTGCCATTTGGTGACGATATGTCCTTAGAAGGGAGCCCTGCAGATATCTTTGGAAGATCTTTTCCAATTGATGCATTCAGAGAAAGGCTGCTGGCGGAAGCGGGATCCAAAGTGACGGAGCAGGACGAAACCGTGGAGATGCCGGCTCCATCCGCAGTTTCCTCGGGATCGCGTTTGTTACGCATCATACGAATTGTAAGCGTGGTACTACTTGCTCTGTCCAGTCTTTATATCCTGGTGGTTGAATCGGACGAACTGGACGAGTTAGTTGGGGAAGATGATAGTTGGGATCCAGAGCATACTCGTCCGTGGAAGAACTGGATGAGAAAACTAGCTGTTTTGGGGTATAAGCCCATACATGAAACCGGCGAGCTAGAGCTTGGAAATATGCATGTGGTATGTGCCCCATGACTAGCAACGTTCTCCAACTGGTTAATCCCAACCATGTTCTTAACTGTAGCGGCTTTGGATGATCTTCCTGACCACAGAACTTTCATGGCAAATAATAACTTTTGTATATCGGCAGGTGCGTCAGCGCCGATAACTGGTCTGCGTGGTGTCGCATAATTATGGTCTTGGCTAACCAATTCTCTCAACAGCTGAACGCAGACAAAACTCCGCGTGGAGGACTCCTGGAATTAGCCGCCCAACTCGGCTTTCAGAATCGGCGGCTAGAGTATCTTTTGCAGTCCGTGAATGATTACCGGGTGATATGGGAGTCGTTCATAGAGGATCTTTTTGTGTTCATCTTCATTGTCGGTAGCATAATTGGGGTTGCTCTTTTGCTGAGTTGAGCGTACTACTCCATGTTTCAATGATCCATCATGTATCATATCAAGCTTCAACTTTCAGTACCACAACAATAGAATGGATTGCAGTCGGACGCGAATTCAATGCACGGACTGGAAGTGTCTTGGTATATTTTCCTTTATTTATTACCAGACTGCTTCCGCCCTTTATGAGGCATTCACAGTCTGCAGTGCCACGTAAATATGCCCCTGCCACGTCGATCAACAATTTGTTTATGGGAACGCTACACTGTCAAAAAGAAGAGCCGCGTCAGATGAGTTCAAATAATGAAGCACAGTCAAACTAACGTACCCATTCAGGTCGACGAGTCGCCAGACGCAGTTTACATCTAGTGGAACTCGAAGCGAGGGTGATCTGTAAAAGATAATAATGTTAATATCATGTGTAACATGTAAATCACAAAGAGCAACATTCTCGAATACGCACAGTGCTGGTGAATGACAAGCCGCGAAAATGGGACGAGAAAGAATTGGTGAAGAGTGGTAAGTACAAGCTAGCGACATAGTTCAAATACAGGAAATTTGCGTAAATACTCACGCCGCCCTTGAAGTAAGAAATATAGTATCCAACGGGGATCATAACACCAAGGAAGTGCAACACAGGGACGAACGAGTCCTTGGCAATGTAACGCTCGTAGTAGCGACCCCAGAAGGTGGTGCTGGCGGTTTGCTGCCGGTTACCCTTGGGGATGTGCTGGTAAAAGTACTTCATCTTCTTGAAGATATCAGGGTGCGCCTGGGGGTAGGAAGACTGGAGTTTGCCGAGTTCCTTGAGCGAAGCGACATTTGGGGGAATCAAGGACGTCTTGGTACGACGGGAGGCAGCCGTGCGAACGGAGCCAGAAACACCGGCAGAAACGCGAAGGGATCGTCCGAGGAAGGACATTGTATGGCAGAGGCTTGCGAGTTGAAAAATGCGAGTTGACGCAGATTTGGAGATGGCCTAGTCGGAAGAAGCCGCACTTGTTTTCGAGTTTTCGTCGATCGCACACGGAGTCACGTGCTCAGGGTCATTGCCATGACGACGCGGAGTGTGGAACTGAAGCCTTGGGCTCTCGCGCGAAGATCCTTCTGGCGACTTGCAAGATGGGACGGAAGCAACAGAAAGGCCAGGGCGGTCGCGGAGGAGGAAAGAGCAGTGGTCAAAGAATTGAGCATAAAGAAGCGTTTCAGCGCATGAACTTTCTGTATCAAGCTGCTGTTCTCATGGCATCCACACCTGTGGCGACAAGCAGAAACCAAGACTCCACCGCTTTAACAAGCGAACCATCACCTAATATCAAACAGAACAAGTGCAATACGATATCCGGACTCGGAAGGTTTTATGCCCATACTCTCCGTCAGGTTGAGCGAAAACTAGTTCTGAGATCGCACCCTTATGTGAAGCGAACCATGTGCAAGTACTGTGAAGGTATTCTCCTTTGTGGTGTAACAGCGTCCGTGAGAACTTCAGGTAAATAGCCGATATTTATTGGATGCTCTTAGTGTCACAGTCGTCTAACATTGCATTTTCAGCTCGGGGAAAAAATACGTTGATCCAGACCGTCTGCAAAGAGTGTCAACATGCAAAGTCGTTACCTGTCATGCACAGTAAAGAACTGCACGCCGAACGGGCTGCTGTACAGGATATTGGCAAGTAGCAGTGGGAGATACTTGGCCGGGCGGCAAACCCGTTGCACCAATTTATTTGCAAACTCCCAAAGTACATGTATACTACCTCTCCCTAGCCACGATCCATCATGGAGGGACCAAACCGGCAAGAGCTGCATGTCCCGGCGACGGAGACCTTGCTTACCCATCTAGAGATTTGTAATGGAGATAGTACGCGGAAATGCCCAAAAGTGACTGTCGTGTTCGCAAGGGCTGGAAGTTTTCACCCTTCTGCCTTGATTGCTGAATCCATCGGGATTTTTGCGTGATCGTCATTATCTTCACGTTGTCCTGAGTCATTCCCACTGGCCATTGCTGCCACATTATACATCCTTTCGATTCGGTCGTACTCGTGCTGCACTTCTTGCAGCAATTTACGGGATTGTGGGATAAGTTTGAGGTGACCAGTTGGTGCTGGTGTCTTGAGGAGAGTTGCTATGCAAGTAGCGTATTAATGTTTGCGTAGCGCACCACAACAACCTAATTGTGCGGAGTAAAAAACAAACCTAAATTTTCTTCGACAACCTTGATCCGCTCGTCTACCCTTTCCATTACCTCCCGCATTTCTGCAAACTCATCCTTTGGTCTCCACTTTCTCGCCGCCCGATACTTCTGCATAGACGTTATAGCCGATGGGGTATGCAGTCGCGGCAACGGGTTCTGACCCTCGCCAGAAGCTGTGTCCAATCCTGGAATCAAGTCTGCGACCCTTTGTGCCCCTACTTCCTGTGTGGCTTCTTCATTACCCCTCCATCTCCCCATACTCTTCTTCGGGGAAGTCAATGCTGTAATTTTGCGGTGCCTCTGTCCTTGTTTGCGGCTTGAGGAGAATGTGTGATGCTCGTACGGTTTCTCGATGGCCCTCCAATACGAACTCGGGCTCGTTAGGGCGTATCGGAGGGCACGAAGGGAGGCTGAGATCGTATTTGGGAATAGATAACTGGTATCTTCGTCCGGTTCTGAGTCAGCGGAGTCGGAGTAGTATGGAGGGGATGAAGTGGATTGGGAGGAAAGATGCGATGAGCTGAATGGCAGTTGTGGGTTACTGGTGCTTGTGATATGGACGCCGGTGAGAAAGGTGGGATCTTTTGCTGATGGATCGTAGTGGAGAACGTGTTCGGAAGACTGGAATTCTGGTGGGCATTCTTCGACATTGGACGATCCGTCTGCCTCTTCACCCTGTTCCTCGTCACTCTCCTCAGGTCTTTCTTTTCTGACCGACATTTCCGCCAGCTCCCCGATGTCCGGTATCCGCCCTCTCCTAATAATATCCTTCACATCTTCTTCTGTATATCTGTATCCTCTCCGCATCCTCCTCGTAGCAAAAGCGCTTAGGGGCGTGTGCACTTCGCTTACTGTGCGAGGGGCAACATTGTGACCGGGCTGTATGGCTGGTGGTGCATTCTTGCGGTGAATGTGTGAAAGAAATGATGATGCCGATGGTTTTTTTATGAGGTTTTTTAGTTTGGCAAGGGTGGGTTGGGTGGGCAGCAATGGAAGCGGCGCCAGCGTGGCGTGGTAGATGGGATCGGCGACGGTTATGTTGTAAAGGGCGGGGAGATCCTTCAAGGGGTTGAAGGCTACATACCCAAGTACTGAAATGCTGGGCAATGAGTATTTGTATCTTATCGGAAGTCGAACAAACCATCAGAGATTTACCCTCGCCTCCGTCCTCCTTGATTTCCAATCTGCCTTCGGCTGCACGCTTCATAACAGGGTTCCCTGCCAGATATACCTTTTCCAGCCGTGGTAGTCTCACAATACCCATCAAGTCCTCCATGGTGGATATTAAATTGTGGGTCAGATGGAGTTCTTCCAACGTGTGGAAGCCATCATACTTGTGCTGTTGCTGAGTGTGCTGGTCGTCGTTCTGGGAAACACGATGCGATAAGAATGAGAGGGTGTGGATGCGATTGCGGGTAAGGTCTAGGATTCGAAGACTGGCACAGGTGCTTGGGGTTAGAATTGCTCCATTTCAAAATTGATGATGACTGGTGGTTGCATGCTTACTTTGGCAGGGCTCCAAGTATTTTGAAAGCCTCAGGACTATTTAATACATTGTTCTCCAAGATCAATACCTCCAACTTTTTAAAGCCGGCTCCTCCTGGACTTTCCACTGGAAATGGTGGTCGGATAAGGACAAAAGGCGCATCGACAATGACAGACTGCTTGATCTCTTCATGTTGTTCGGGTAGTGGCAGGGTGTCCGGTACTGGGATGGCCTGAAAGTCCCCTGGTGGTTCGCTGGAATGTGATTGTTCGACAGGGACGATGGCTGGAGCTTCAGTTTGTTCCGCAATGACAGGAGGTTCTGATTGTGGATTTTGCACCGGGACATCATAGCCTGGTTCAAGATGCTCTTGTCTCTCTACATCGTCTGGCGGTTCAGATTGTTCCAGCTGTTCCTGCTGCTCTTCACTCTCCATTGGAAAATCTGCCAGTTGTTCCTGCTGCTCTTCACGCTCCATTGGAACATCTGCCAGTTCTTCCTGCTGCTTCTCCTCTCCTTCTGCAAGACTTTCAATGGATCCTTCATCCATGTTGTCCAACGTTACCGTAAGAGCTCCATCCTCTGCAACAGTGAGTCTTTCCTGGGTGCTCGGACGATGCACTTCAGACTCCTGAGGTGATTGCTGCTGCTGATCTTGGTCAGATGACGATGTATTCACCGGTGCTGAATCGTTGGCAGCTGGCTCTGCAGCACTAGTGGTATCCGTGGGCAGGGGTGCTGCAGCAGCTTCTGATGACACTACGATTGAGGAGTCCGTCTGTTCGTTCGTGGTTGTTGTTTCGGGGGGCGGTGTTGCGTGTTGTGTCACATTACCTTCCAAGAACCCTTTCTCTAAAGCCTCTAGCTGATACTTTGGCAAGATTCGCTCAATGACCCTATCCCTCCACCGAATCATATCCGCGATCTCCACAGGCAGAGATCGAAGATTATTACTTGATAAATCCAAACGACGAAGGTTTGGGAGCGTTGCAAGCACAATAATCCCAGCGTGGGTTAGGGCATTATATGAGAGGTCTATCTCCTAAATAATTGGGAAAGATGCATGCGTTTACGCCATTTTGTCAGCTGGACGAAAGAATTGTCGGATCTCACCTCGCACAAGAGAAACCGACCTTCCACTTCCAAATCCAGGTCTTGCACACCATTACATGGCATGACTAGTCTTCTTAGCCCTGGTAGTACTCCCAGCTTTGCAAAAGGCAACTCATTCTCGCCGCACTGCAATGAGGCTAGATTGGTGAACATTGTCAAATCATCTTCGATGACATGGCGAAGCTGGTGGGACGACACATCAAGGTGATACACGTTGTCAGGATCATCTGCAGGGGCTTTATTCAACTTTTTCAAAGGAGAATGAGATAAGGTCGTAGATAAAGTATAGAATTTGTATGTACCATAAAAAACCCGTCAAGGACATGAGGTATCTCTATGTATTTTCCTCGACGCTTGCGGACCAGTGTCGGTGAACGAGTGGAGCCCTCCGCAAGAGAATCATCGTTACCGAGGGTTATTTCGCGCTGATGGACAGCTTGGATACCATGTTGAAATGGCATCGTGCATATTTGAGCAACTATTGCCACAGTGTTTCCTGATGCATCTAAAAAGGGTGAAGGATCGGATGTGCTTACTCATCGATTACGCAAGCATATTCTTATTAACTGCGCTTTCGCGCTTCAATCTCCCTCCCCAATTCCTGCAAGCTTTCTTTCAGCGCATTTGCATCCTCAAACCGCCGTCGCTTGAGCGAATCTTGCAGGAATCCTTCAACCTGCTTATACTGTTGTTCCAATACTTCTAACTCCGGATCTATGGTAATGCTAGCTATCGCCGGTGACTCGACTCCCTTTTTGTTTACCTTGGGCATGAGCTGGAGAGTAAACATATGTGATTGTAGGTATTGAATCACGGATAAAGTGATATTGTGATGCAAACGTTGAACCGATGGGGTTGACCCCGGCAGAGATTTGACCGTTTTGCTACCGAGTACCAACAAGTAGGGAGATGAATCCCAGGTCCCGGGGCCGGAATTCCCCAAATCAGCCCATCCTCTTACCACAGCTTATCAAGTTCTGAGAAGTAGTCTAGCAGGTTTTTCCTATATCGGTTTGCCATTTGATAATCTCGATCTTCGTAGTCGACTGTGGGGCGGTTTCTGCAAAGCCATGCAATTAGTGGAAACTAACAACTCCCAACTCATTATGAAAGACCAGAACGTACGCCATGCTCATCAGGAGGTTATTGAACTTGGGTAATGTCTCCTCCACTAAGCCACGATACTTTGCAATCATCTGTCAAGACAGTTACATATATGCAGAATTACCTGGTATCTGATCGTGACCGCAAAGATACCTTGTAGAGTTTTACAATCTGCACGCTATTTACCGAGTCTTGCCACTTTTCGCGCCGTCTGGCTCCCAGTTAGGAAAAACAAAAAAGCTTCCTATCCGGCGCACTATCACCTACCGCGCAACCACCCTGTTGCAATCTGAGCACACTCGAATCTCGGCAACAGCTCCGCGCCTCTCCTCGTCTCCTGCACCAAAACGCATCAGGTCAAACACGTGCACGCTCTTTTAGGCTCAGGACTTACCGCACGACACCTGAAGGGGAATCATCATTGAACATCCTGGACTACCGCACACGACACGTCCACATAACCGGCAATGATGCCGTCTATTGGTGATGGCTCCGAAGGTCTTGCTGATACAGGCATGTATGTTAGCTGACAGGGACGCCACTAAGACAGACAATCTGAAACTACCTGCACAGTGGACAACTTGTCACACTGTTGTCATCTTCCCACGATACAATTGTTTGCTCCGCGACTGTAAAAGTCAAGGTAAATGAGGTTGCAGCGATTGACTACGCCAAGACCACCTACCCTTTCGACTCCCACCCCCGTAGAATGAGGACCGTTTGTTGACAGTAGGAGGCCTTGACCCTTCTTCTGCATACATGAGACTAAGCTAAGCACCTAAAGTCTCAGTCAACGATTTTCTCGGCCATTGAACGGTAAACGTCTTGGATGGCACCTTTTCAAGCCTTTTTTCTAGTTTGTTGGCTTCAAGCTGAAGGTTATCTATGCGATTTTTACGTATTCGAAGAAAAGTTTGTGTTCGATTTCGGGAGACGCCAAAGCTGTCTTTATAGCTTTCTCGATCTTTGTAGCATTTTTCGCACACTCTACACCATATGCCTGCGGCGGGATCTGCTCTGGCATCGGGGGAAAGCCGCATTTGATAAGATGTGTGAGGTTCGCAATATAGGCGGCCGCACCTTCGACCGCAAATAGCGGTTACGTTAAAAGGAACCATGATAATCCAGCATGTGGTAGGAACCTACTTTCGGCAATGGTGTTTGCCAGCACGCAATCCCAGGGGTTTTCCACAACCCTCCATCTCACACCTGTCATTCGGCCCTTCACGTTTCCAATGAGATCTTGTGACGATAGACTCTCCCGATTCACCTACTGGTGTTAGACTTCCGGTCCCACTGCCTGTCCGCACCAACTCGCTCCCCCCCGGACCAATATTTGGATTCAGCTCAAGCTGCCCATTCTGCGCAAATTTGTCCAATGAAAGGGAATTTAATGTCGAAGACGTTTTCTGTGCGGCTCTGGTCAGAGGAGCAGCGACCTTTCGCTGAGCGGAGCGAAACCACGATACGAGGGCATCCTTTGTGTCGAAGTCGTTATGCGAGTCATCCAAATGGCGATTGAGTTGCGCCAGCGATATCATTTCATCGCCTGGGAAAGGAGTTTATGTCAGCAGTCAGCTAAAACCACCAGAAGATGAGCAAGTTGACCGCACCACATATTGGACATGCTAAAGCTTCGTCAACCGATGACAAGTTTTCGACGGACAGGGTTCGCATATCGCGATTCGCTCGTGCAAAGCGCGGTGAGCTCGAGCCTGAGGAGGATGCACTTGCTGCTCCCGAAAACATTCCAGGGGTTTCCAGCAACAAAAAATGGGGTAGATGTGATTTGACGATGCCAGGAAGAAGATGGCCAGTGTGTCAGCATACCCAGCGAGCTTCAAACACGCTCAGTAGGGCACGTGCTCGAGTGGACGGGTCTTCAGCCGGTCTTGCAGTTGCTGCTTTCCTCGTCCTCGCCCTAAGATCGGCCATTTTGGAAGGGTTTCCAGGATCTGGAGCTCACAAGGTTGTCTGGAAGCCGGTCCGGGCACCTGCTTCGTCATGAACATGTTCAGCTCTTTCCCTCCAGCCTACGAGCGACTTCCTGACGCCTCCACCTCCCTTCCAACTGGCGGAACAACTGACCCGACAAAGGCTCACCCGACTCTTTCTACACTTTCCTGCCTTGCCCGAGTTATTCGTATCATATTTTCTTCAGAGCAGGAGAATGTGCGCTCCCTTTATTTCCTCCTCATTTTGTGTAGTGTCCTGTATCAAATCTTTGTTTATTATATCGGGATAGCAATACCGAAATTCTATATCGTGTTGAATGCAAAGGACGAAGCTGCTTTCTGGAGTCTAGTTGGCAGGCTTGTCGGACTGTATCTAGCAATATCAACCGCAAAAGCCTCCCTCCATTTTGTGGGTGGTTTGTTCGCTCTACGGACACGGAGGATCTTGACCAGAAAGCTGCAGGAAGGATATGTAACCAAGGGCGCACTGTATGATGTTGCACGCTCGAAGGCCGATGGGATAGATAATCCTGATCAGCGCATCACCCAAGATGTTGAGAAGTTTTCCGACGAGGTAAGAAAAAGGAGAGTAGTCCAGCATTTATGCAGAGTTTTGGATGACTGATTAGTTCGCAGTCACGTAAGGTGATGGAGGAAATTGTGATCGAGCCGGCCCTTCTCGTGTACTATACATATCAAACTTACCTCGTCAGTGGATGGCAAGGCCCCTCTATGATCTACCTTTACTTTACAGTTTCTTTAGTCGTCTGTCGATATCTGCTTCGCCCCCTTGTGTCACTTGTGTATTCCAAGCAACGGGCAGAGGGTGATTTTCGTTTCCTTCACGTTCGGCTCCGCTCCAACGCCGAACCTGTTGCATTCTTAAGGGGTGAAGAATTGGAACGAGGGGTGTTGGAAGAGGCATTCCAAAACTTGTTGGGCCTTATGAGAAAGATCGTGCACTGGGAGGCAATCCTGAGGTTTGGAACGTCATATTGCAACTACTTTGGGTCGGTGGTTTGCTATGGCATCATTGCCATGCCGATTTTCGATGGGGTATATGATGATTTAAGTCCGTAAGTTAAGGAACTGGCCTTGATGCGCACCCATTGAATATTGAATCACAAGATCCAACCTTAGGGGTGAACTCAGCGCGCTGATCTCAACAAATCTCTTCTTCTCTCTGTATCTGAGCTACCGATTTACCGCCATTGCCGAGCTAGCGGAAAAGTAAGCCGCCGCTTATTGACAGTCAGACCTGCTCACTATGGCTTATGCTTTCCAAAATCGCAGATATGCAGATTTAGCGGGCTATGCGGCACGTATGGGCCAATTTTTCGAGGTCATTGATCGCGAGAAACTAACTGCAAGCACTATGGGAAATTACGCGGTTACTACCACTACAAATGATGCGGATCCTTACATATCTATACGAGACCTATCATACAATGTCCCGCAAGGACAGAGCCTTGTCTCCAACCTCACCCTCACAGTTACCCCAGGATCACACTTGCTCATTATGGGACCCTCTGGCAGCGGGAAGTCCTCATTGTTGCGGGTGTTGAGCGGTCTTTGGGTTCCATATCAAGGTCAAATGAGTCTGCCACCAGAAAATAAAATGCTGTTCCTGCCTCAAATACCCTATCTGGTGCATGGTGGGACGCTTCTGGAACAAATCATCTACCCTGCTAAGCTGGAGGAAGTGTACATACCGGACGAGGATGTAGAAGTAGTTTTGCGGACTGTAGGACTAGAGCATTTACTGCTCCGAGAACGCGACGTAGTTATGGCTGGTAAGGACTTGGACTGGGATGTCATGCTTTCACCCGGCGAGCGGCAACGATTAGCGTTCGCTAGAGCATTATGGAGACGACCTATTTTTGCGTTCTTGGATGAGGCGACATGTAACATCGATGCAGCTGCTGAAGGAGAGCTCTTCAAAATCGCTTGGGAAAAGGGCATTACTTGTGTGCTAGTTAGTCATAGAATCGTTCATGGTTTCGGGAGAGTGTTGAGGATCGTGGGGGACGGGACCTGGGTTGAGGAGAGTTTAGATTAGACGTTGCAATCGGTGGCATTCCAAAGACAATATCCTTCTCTGGTTGCAACTTTCCACTGATCGGCGTGTTATGTAAGCGACTTTTGTCATGGGAAATCGCGCGCGCCTTTCGGCTTTCGTCGTCGTTGCGATCTGCAGCGATCTCCAATGGCCGCGTTCATACAATGAGACCAGTGGCACCTCTGGTAGTCCCAGAATCTTCATTGTGGCATCCAAATCATAATCATATCATCGGCGCCCTCATCCAGGACTTGTTGTCTTCTGAACCCCCGGCAACCGCTCAGGTAGAGCGACACGTGTTAACGAAGATCCTGCCATACGTTCTCTTCCAGTTCGCTCCTGAGCTGTATAAAACGGACCAGACAAAAGGGCATGAGTCCGCAAAATCCTCACGACTTCAAGCCGCAAGAGCTGTTTTAATCGCTCTCAACTATTCGTTAAGTTTGCCCAATGAAGTGCTGTTTGAATCTCCGAATGAAACAAAATTCTCGGGTAGGATCAACGACGGAAAAGAAATACGCCTACTGCTTCTGAATGCTTTCACTTTGCTGTGCAAGAGGATAGATGGGTATGTTTGGCGCTGCCTATTTTAAGTAACCTTCTTCCTTTTTGACACGAGGGGACCACGTACGTTAGGGAGAAGCTCTGGCTGTTATTCACTCAGAAGACGCAGCTCGCTCGCGTAGACAGTAGCAAAAAGCAACCAAATACCGAACACGCCACAGTAAACGCTTCAGCTCGCATTGATATTGTCGTACGATCCATCCTCAGTTTGATCGAAGACGTGCCCATACTACCCCGAAAAAAGAAACACAATGATCTCGGTAGCCTATGCTGGCGTGCACGAGAGTGTTTGAGGGATCTGCTTATAGCTCTGCGGCGAATAGCCAAAGTCCCACAGCTTGACCGTCTCCACAGCAGGTTGTCTCTCCTAGAGGAATTTGCGTGTGTTTTGCTCAAGGGGCTCCGGCGAAATGAACGAAAACCAAATCTGTACTCTCGATTGAAGGTAAGACAGATTTCCATGGATTTAGGATAGGTCATTGACATCTGTCCATTGCTCCAGCTGCAAATTACGTTATATGCAGATATGATCCTTCTGCTGCCGGCAACAATGCCTGCACGCGTTCCTCCGAGCAACGTACACTTGCTCGCGCACCCTCTTCTGCTTCTCCGTCATGTGTTTGTGCCCATCTTGCGATTAACAGTGTGGAATGTGGAAGCTACTTCGCATGGAGCCCAGGCATTCCGCAACCTCCGAGCATATATCCTTGTGTGGGCTGAAGATGAAAACGGTCACCTCGACGATATGAGCAACATTCTTACTGAAGATCGACTTACCCTTTCTATTTCCGATTCGAAGCATCTCCTCAAACATACGTCTATCCTACTTGTATTACTAGCCGATTTCTTTACCAATGCATCACGGAGCCATGCGAAGGAAATTCTCCCTGCTGCTGACAAGAAGCGTTTCATGCCAATTCTTCTGACGGACAATATCACGAGAGATTTGGTTCGGTGGACGTTGTCCGGTTATACAACGCGAATGGTACAACTGTTTCTTCTCCCACTGCTGGAACAGTTGAGCGCTACAGAAGACAATTGGAAACTATGTGAGCGAATTATCGTAAGCGTGTACAATGGACGGTTGGGCTCAAATGAGGATGAACAAGACCATTTTCTTTCCGGTAAGGGCCACCTATATTACTCCCTAGAGCTCACACGACCGACAATTTGTGGCCATATCATCCAGTGAACGACAGCATCGACTCAACGGTTCAGTGCTTGACGAAGTGGCTTATTACGAATGCGTGCTGGCGCTATAACCACTCTGACGACGATGCTGACGAAATAGCTGGCGTAACCAGGAGAATGGTAGGAAAACTGCCCTCACAGGAGGCCAGGCTCCGGGTACGAATATTTTGCATCAAGCTGTTGGGTCGTATCCCGAATGACAATCAGCAGGTTAGCCCCACGCCGTCGTTTTCTATAAATCTTTTTATAACTTGTTTGCAAGTCTAGATTACAAATTGCATTTTATCATTATTTGATGATCCCTCCTTGAAAATTCGGCTTGCCGCAGCACATGCTATTAACGTTCGGCGTTCGCATACCAAATCCGAATATCGGGAAATCAATCGACCAGGGTTAGAGACACAGGATCAGGTTGGAAGCTGGGGAGCTACTGCAGGTCCGAAAGACCGACCGATGGCTCAATCAGTTATGAAGAATGTGCTTTCGAAGCATGCCGACTGCAAAAGCGAGCCCAGACATAAGGACGTAAAAATCAAAGTTCGAGCCAAAGACAAAGAGCCTGGAACTCGTTTTGAACAGATGAGTAGGTCCGACCGATCGTCACTACAACCAGGACCCGCTGAGCCTACATCCAGACCCGATAGGGCCGGAGAAGAAACTGAACTTATCCATGACTTCTACGAGTATCTGAAAGATCAGACAACAAATGATGTAGGATTTGTGGTTAGAGAGCTCGCTGGGCGCGATGACCGCATGGAGCAGATGGAGTACAGAGTAGAAGCAGGCGTGCAGCAGATCAATAAGAAACCGGAGCGACAAAGCATTGAAACTAAGGACCTCAACATAGATTCTGGATTCGCTACGGACGAGCCGCACATTTACAGCCCATCTGTTCCGTCACCAACGTCTTACATCGGATCAAGGGTTAAGCGTAGTCTCAGTATACCGTCAGGTCGTGCGTACCTACACGATGCGTTTCTTCAAGTGACAGGAACCACGTTAAGGGGATCTCTAAATCTTGATACGCCAACGAAGGGGAACTGTGGACCTCACATCAATCCACCTGTCGGACTCGGTCCAGACTTTCAACGCCTGGATGAGTTGGTGGAGGAGCAAATCAGCCGCATTGATCGTATCATGAACCATGATCGAACACACGAGAGTAATGGGACTGGACATGTGAATGACGTGAACCCAGATGCCTCTCCAAACCGGCCAAGTGCGTCCTTTTCCGATCTGCTTGGAGACAGAGCGATAAACTTGAGAAAATTAGAGGACACAATTGACGTAGATGCGGAAGGCGCTGCTCAGTTAAGACACCCCAGGCCAACACCATTAGACGCCTACCCTGGCTTGCCACGTCCTCAACGCAGCCACATCAAATCTGCGACATCCAGTCTCATTAGTCCGATCGGATCCAGTGACAACGAGGATGTGGATGCCGAGATGCAATTGGATGAAATTCTAAGTGAGGAGGACGGGAATGATATTTTTGAGGACGATACCATGAAGGGCATGGAACAGGGTATCAATTCTGCTGTTGACGACATCGCGCAAGGGGAAAGATTGCCTGCGACACTAAATGTGAATCATGTTTCTGGTGTCATTTTACATGACCAATCTTTTGGAATTCAAAGTATTCATAGCCACTCGAAAGGCAGCCTAATGGATCAAGGAGTGGAGAGCGACTTGAATGTGGCAAGTGATAAGTTGGTGGCAGATGATGCACATGTGCCCGATAATGTGGCATTAGTACCTTCGGTTGTGGACGACGCTGCCGGTCGTCTCGTTCCCGATAATAAAGCACAAAGCAGTCCCAATGTCAGGGAGAAGATCAAGGAAGAGAACGTGGACGCGTGCAAGGGAACAGAAATCGTTGAACGAAATAATACGAACGGTGAAAGCACTTTTGTGCTTGACGTGCAAACAGATGCAACGGACCACGTCCAACATTATGACTTGGCGACACGTTTTGCCCATCATACCTCCTCCTCATTCACCTCCCTTCTTGCTCCTTTTTACCAAAACGCCCCCCCAACATTCATTCGCCCGCGTCTTCGAAATGCAGTTGACATGGTGTTGAAAGCGATTGTTTTCTCTCGAAATCTGGACGCACAGATCGAATACAGGAGTGGGAGATTGAGCGCCCCAAGTGAGGATGAAGAAGGATCAGACAAATCGAATGCATCCAACGCGCAGCGTCTTCATCCTCTTCACCCACTCCTGAAAGGAGTATTCTCGCTTGACCCAATCCTTCTTTTGCAATATTGCTCTACCCTCGATATGACAGACCTTGCGCGGGCTGTTTCACTCCATAAAACTGCTCAGTGGCATGAAGGCTTAACTGTGATTCACAGGCACCTATTGCCTCTATCCCGCATATTATTTGAACTTGAAGCCCAATTACATGAACATCTCACCGAAGCACAGGCATTAGTTATTGTGAGGGATCAAGTGACAGTGGTAAAATTGACTTGCAGAGAGGAAAATGCACTTAGGGATGTGTCTGGATCTCTGGGTAATTTGATTGGGGCTGGTGATGGAAGCTTTTTGAGATGGGTTGAGGCTGAGATCAAATGAAGTTGACTTGGGATTCATGGCGGCCGCGATCTCCAGTTTCTGTTTTGTTCTAGCATCCGTGATATTGGACAGTTTTGCTCTTTAGAGAGAAACAATATATGGATATTAGAGCCGCACGTCGTTATGATCGGGTTTTATCTCGAGAATAACAGCGTTTATGCTTTCAACTCAAATAATCAATGCAGTCGTGTGCATTGCCTACTCATGGATGTGTTTTGAGGTCAAGGCGGGCGGTAACAGTGCCATCCCCATTGGCATTCGTCTATCACAGCGCCTGAGGTAGTTCCTGATGATTAAAAGCCAGCTTGCAGTAAAGGTACAAGAAGTGCAAACATGTCCCCACTGGACATTCTGTGCACATCTAGCTCCCCACTGTTAGGTTTGAGGTAACCTACAGTTTTCACTATCAGTTAGCAGCCAATGAGCCCTCTGCTTATTTAGGAAAAGCCTCTTTATCCTCTCGAAATCGACGCAGAATGTGGTTGCTGTCTGAGCCAGAACCTGTCCTATTCTGGCATGGCAACTGACCCCGGATCTGAGCGAATTCAGTTAAAAATTATTTAACCTGGTGAAGACTGCCGTTGATCTCTGACTATCCAACTGCCATGATGGAGAAAAGTGCCGTTCTCCTATCCAATGTAAGTTTATATGTTGCGATTTGATGGCAGTGGGGTACAACAGTGTATCAATTGGAGAACAACGCTAACCTGCTAAATCCTGGCAAGCAAAAGAACAATGCATCATATCCACATTCATGTCTGGTAAGATCACCTTTTTTTCCCTGTGCGATGCATCTGTGAGTCAGGACACTGGGGCTTTGGCTAGCTAAGATTGCAAGTGGGCTCATAAAATATATGGAGCAAAGAAACAGTATAACACCAAAGTCCTGACGTGGCAGAGTCCAAATCTTTCCCCTACAGTGTACCAATTGTAGAATCCCCAGTGTGCAATTATCACGTCACTAATCCTCTTCTTCTTCTTCAGCGGTTTGCAACCACAACACAAACGGTGCCGCTTTCTTCTTCAATTCATCAGATCCGATGCCCCTGTACCATTCCAAAAATGTGTCTTCCTCCACCAAATCCGTGTCTAAGCAAACCGAAAACTGGTCAATAAAGCACGATAGAGAAATCACTTTACAAGCACCGACGCACCATAAAGGTCTTTGCATATGAGCGGTACTTTGGATAATAATCCCCTGGTCCTCAGGACCTGCTTTTCCCAGACCTTGAGAAATGCCACTTGATCCTGACGACTGCGTATGAACTGTGAACGGATCAGTCAGCTTGAAGCTTCCTGAACCGCTGGGTATGACATGAGATCCCCTAAACATACCTGTTGAAAGAGCTTGACCCTGTTTACAATCTTTGCACTCTCGTATGTGCTATCAAGTAATAGCGCTCCCAACAATACAGCAAAGACTTGCCGCTTGCTCAGATCATGCTTGAACTCCATGCGTGTGACTTCTTTGATTTCTTCGTTGACGCTAAGGCGGCCGGGGTTAATGAAGCGAGCAAGTTCTTGCGAAAGCTTCTCTTCGAGGAGGTTCGCTTTTTCGTCAGCTGGATGAAGTGGGGCACGTGGCGGTGGTGGAGGGTGGGGGCTATGGACAAGCAGAGACAGACTGCTCAAAATGCCGTCTAGATTACACTATAACAACAAGTGCATAACTCCTACATACCTGCTGTTGTTTAGATTTCCTCTTTCTTCGTCGGAGAGTTCGACAATGCGCATCCAAGGTTTGCTCTTAGAAATTGGACGCCGTGAGTAAGTGCTCGCGTAGTCATGGGCATACTCTTGCAAGGTCCTACTTTATCATCACCACTTAAGAGATCCTTCAACGAAGACTTGTCTCGGAGATGCCCGCGGGAGGTGGGAGTAGGAGGGGTGGATGATGCCGTGATCGGTGCCTTGGTATTGTTGATCACTTCGACCTTGGCCGGCGTATCCGGATGAGGTTCGGTTGAAGGCGCGGTTCTACGTTTGCATATCGGTAATCGCAGCTACAGCACAAATTCATTAGCAGATCAAACTCACCTGCTGCGCGTTGCAGTGTGTGATACATCGCCGTTTGCTTTGGTCTTAAGAGGTGCAGGTGCCTGCTGTATTGGTTCCTTTTGAATGTTGTCCTTCTCACCTTCTCGGGCATGGTTGGGTCGTTCCCGAAGCTCACTAGAGAAGTAACGAGATCAGCCTTTCCTATGCCAGTGCCCGTCGGATCATGATGGAATACATGCCTAGGACTTTTAAAATTGAAAAATTAACACGATTCGCCTCGAGAGCCACGCATTCGACCAGAGAAGGACATACCTGTGCGCAAAGTTGCAACGTGGACCGTACTGCGACCCAAACGATGAAGTGGTGTTGAGAGCGAAATTAAGAGTCAGCCGTGCTCAATGATCAGACGTTTACCTGACAGAATCCCTAGATGGATAACTCAAGTAAGAATTGTGAAACGACATTAAGCTGCAGCGATAGGATGTAGACAACACACCTCTTTAACAAATCGTTCGCAAAGCCGCGTTTTATACAGCGGACTTCCAGGGCCGTCTTTCTTGTCGACTTCATCGTTCACCAGAGGACGTTCTCGTAACTCTACCTGAAATACATTGAACCTGTTAGCTTCTCACAAGAATGCAAAGGAGATCCGTGCAGTACCGTGCCGTGCGCGAAAGTGCATCGGTTCCCGTAAGGACAATGGGCTTCAGTCTCATATCTCTCGCAGAGTCTCGTCTTGTACAGAGGATTGGATGCTTGTGAATTGGACGTCCGTGCTGACGGGTGGCGCGGGCTCTCATTTTCATCCCAAGCTTGCTTGTCATTATTGAGCGGGGATTCTCTCCAGTTTTTTGCTCCGTTGGGTCCTAAGAATAGTCCTCGGCCCTCCTGAGATCGATGTCGTGCAGGGCTACTGGGACGCCGCGATTCCTCATCTAAACTTCGTCGGTAGCGTTTATCTCCTTCCCGGTTGTTTCCCGTTGATCGGCGACCCAAGTTTAACTTTTGAAGGTTAAGGGGAATTGATGCATCCGCAGCCTGATGCCGGTGTTGGGTGGATTCGATGAACACAGAAGCCTGTTCAAGCACATCTTGCATACTTTTAAACAAGGACTTTTCGGACGCCTGATCGAAGAAGGTTAAATGCTGCGAGCAGCCCGCCAGAATCACTCTGCCCTACCAACCTGTTTCAACTGCATCCACGCTATATTAAGCCCAGCAAGTCCTCCCGGTACAATTCTGACATTTGTCACCAGACGGGCAAGAAAGAAAACTGCTCGTTTGGGCTTCGTTCCTGACAGATACTAGAAACGGATATATGGCATATTTGATTAACAAGAAACAGAATTTGGGAGATCACGACGGCAACGTGCCTTGATTTCCGCTCGAAACCCGTCCTCTATCTGGATATCCTTCACGCTCAGGCCCGTTACGTCCGGCACCACGCGAATAGCACATCTGTGTCAGACAGAGAGTGTGTCAGTTTATACACACAAGATGCATTACCAATCAGCAAAGCATACTTCAGCTCGTCTTCTTGGCCAATGAGTTTTCCTTTGGGAGGCGTCCTGACCGTCAAAGACAGCACAAATTATGTGTGTTGAATATCTCGTCGATATTCTGACTCAAACGAATCTTCATACCAATGTCGCTTATTAGAGAAAGAGTCGTTGACCAACAAAAACTCGATATTCTGGCGAATCCGATAAATAACGATTCCCGCTGCACTCTCCATGAATATGCAGATTTGGACAACCCCCAATGCTGAAAACTCCTAAAGCTCGAGAAGGGTGAGTTTCGCTGAAAAGGCGTAGGATGGGGTCGTTGGAAACGAGACGGGTTGCTCAAAAAGTTCAACCACGACTGTTTGATGAGCCATTGAGTCACTCGCCACAAAATCGCGTTTGAAGCCCGACTTTTGGACACGCCGCCTTTCTTGTCATTTTGGGTCTTCATTTTGGGTCTTTTTTTAAAGGCTTTTTGGGACGATCTTACAGGGCGTGGATGAGACGAGGGAAAGGGGAGGAGGGGAAGCATATCTTTTGACTGTTGAAGAGAGAGAGAGGATCTACAAAATGATGCAAAAGTACATTCCACTTGCAACGGGAGTCATGCTCCCGATTGCAACGGCACTCAACACTCAGTCGCTGATTGTCGCCGGCTGGCTGTACGAAGAAAAGCTATCGCACGACTATCCGTTCTATGAATCCTTGGTCCGCCCACATAAACACCGTCTTGTTTACTACAAGCCCTCGGTCGTCTTCGTGCTCTCTGCGATATCCCTCGGCTTTGGCTTGCTGAGTGTCATTACTCTCTTTGTGCGCATGCTAGAGTATGCCTCCATGTTTCTGTCATCATTTGGATGCCGTTGCATTTATTGTTGACCTTACAGGAAGAAGATCAAATGGTGCACACGACTAATGATAGCCGGGGCGGCTGGACAAGGTAGCTTTGCTTCCTTCGGCCACTTGTTGCTAGCAAGGCTCAATTTACATTGTCTTGCCTAGGATTATTTGCCTCAGCCGCAGTTATTGCCTTCATCATCTGGAAATCCCTAACATATGTGCATGGGAAATACACTGAAGGATGTTTTTACAGCGCAATATCTGCCGCTATGTCGATAACGGTGGCTCTGCTATCTGCATATCATCATCATCTGAACCGCCGGCAACTCTATTCCTATACTCTCTATGAACTCTCCCCTTCGCAACGCCAGTTGATTCTGCTTCTGATCACGTCCATTAGTTATACGTTCGCGATGGGTGCTGCTTATGCTGGCTTAGAAGGATGGTATGTTGTTCACACGTGAGGACCAATGCTGAAACTGAACGGATACCTAATGGGCGATACTTTTAGGGATTTTGACGATGGTGTTTATTGTATGTGCTTGGGGCGTCTTCCACACGCGGGATGCAACACACTCAATTGCAGTTCTCCACAGGGTGTGTGTCAACACTCGCAACCATCGGGTTCGGGGATTTGGTGCCACAATCCATCACGGGTAAAGTGACCCTTCCCCTTGCGGCGTCCTGTGGGATTGGTATACTTGCTGCTAGCATCTACGCGATCCGGCAGGTTGCTCTTGAGCTTCTGACACATCGACTGGCCAGCGAATACTCAAGGTCGTTCGGAATTGCCAAGGAATATGTGCCCACAGAGGACCATTCACCCGAAGAAGGACGTCCCTTGTCGTCATCGCCCATTATGCACCAGTCGTGGGACATGTTTCCGCAGAGCGAAGGATCAGTTTCGCGACGGCGATCCATCGGGGCCGCGCCCCAGACAAACCAGCGTTGCCGTCCTGCGGCTCCTCAAAGCATACCAAGATCTAGAGCATCTGAACCACACGTGGCCTTTTCTGCACCGAACACTAACATACTGCTGAATACTGGCCACAGCGTCTATGAGCCAACTCCCCACAGCAATGAAAGGCCATCAAACATCAGATACTCCGCACCTGCGGTGGCTGAATCGTTTGGGCTACCCTTAGGTCGATCGTTCACGACGTCTGTTCTCGAAGCTCGCACGATGGTTATTTCTCGGGGCGCCCATCTGCCACAACTGACCATTGTAGCTCCTGCGGATGTGCGGCGTCGGCAGGTGGTTGAAGCTACTCGGAGGACCTTTCGCCAGCAGATTACCTTTGCCATTCTAGCTGTCATAGCCAACATGTCAGTTTTTGGAGGCGTCTTCTCCCTCTTTGAGGGTTGGCATTTTTTTGAAGGTACATTTTTTAAGTCACCAACTTTCTTGCTTGCTCTCGATTTATAGTAGTTGTCCTACAGGTCTTTATTTCACATTCTGCGCTTTAACCACAATAGGTTTGTTTTCACAGCAGTTGGAGTGATCAACAACTATATTGCATGGATGGCTGATATGCATGTTGTGACAGGTTACGGAGATTACACCTTGTCTACGGTGCAAAGCCGTTCCATCTTCATGTGGTTTCTTTATATTGGCATTGGCAGCGTCACCTACATGTTCTCATTAATGTCGGAGCGGGCTCTCGACCAGTGGACGGTGACGGTCAATAAGATTGAAAACAGAGTGGACCGATATGAACGCAAGGCAAAGTTAAAGAAGTTATATAAAAATAAAGGGCTTACGCTGGGCGTGCGAAGACGTGCTCGAAAAGAGGAGAGTACAGATCAAGAGAGCGAGCTACTTGGAGAGCGCGAGCCGGTTACACGTGCGCGGCAATCTGATGATGAACACCCGCTTACCAGCGAATCTGAGTTCTACCTCTCAGATGCGCAATCCCAAGAGCATCTGCCTGCGGAGGCACCCGTTTGGGAAGGCATAGGACGCCCAAGGGCAAGTCCTCAGCCGCTTGAGGCCGAGGAGACTTCTAAGGAAGTGGAAACACCTGAAGTAGCCGGCGAACTGGAATTAGAGACGACACCGCTGCTCAGTCCCACAATCGAACCCCCAGTCGTTGGGTCGGTTCGGATTGAGCCGCCGTCCCCATCGACCTTGTGGGGACGCTCGAGAGGGCCGCCTCTCCTTTATCGTACCGGGACGGTGGATTCAACCGCGAGTTCCTTACGGGGAGTCGTACGGTTGGAGGCTCCTGCCACCTCATTGCCGCCGTCTGACATTGGAAATTATCCTTCCTTCCGTCGGGTTGAAACCACACCAACTGGCACTGAAGGCCGACGTGGCACGGAGACTCGTTTCCTGAGTACTGGTGTGCCTATAGATCACTATTCAACCGACGAAGAAGAGTTTGAAGTTACGGGCAGATCCGTGAGGATGTTCTCCGGGCGTAAAAGTCGTCGCTCCAGCATTGTATCAAGAATAGTTCAACAACCTATTTCAGCGGATGCGGCCTTTGACCGAGAAGAATTGAATATCTCCTGCCCAGACGATGAGCGAGCAGCTGTATAGAAGTCTATTCTGTTCATTCTTTTTCATTTTCTTTGCTTGTACACCTCTATTGGCTTTTAGCTAAAGTGCACAAACCATGTGGTTGCGTGTACCTTAACTTTTTCATGTAAATATTGGCATTTTCTATAATACAACATCAGATGCAGTCTCGTTGCATTCGATATAGGCAATGAAGTTAATGGCACGGTGACTGACTATGCGAATCACCATGCCAACGGTAGATGGAAATGTCGGGATACCAACTTGCTGCACTTTTGCTTCCACACTCCACAACACTTTTGGATCACCGCACCATGCGCCTTCTTCGTACAGCGACACATTTATCTGCCCGAGCTCTACGCCGCGCAAAGCCTACTGCTGCCTTTCGGGCCAATATCGGCGCCTTGGGGGTTGACCCTGCTCAACGACTTGCGGCAATGCTCAATAAACAAGCAGCTTTACATAGCGTGGCGGCCACGTCGAGCATTATGGAGGCTTTGAAGACAAAGGATTCTAGCAACCCTGCCAGTGCTGGTCAAGGGACCCTTCTTGCCGCCGTAGAAGAGGGTGAGGACGAAGAATCTCATAGGTGAGAATGTCCCGTAACCTGACAATAGAGAATACGGGTTTTCTAATTACTTTTCCAGTAATAGATGTCGTGGTGTATTCTCTCTCGCCACAGTAGGACATGGTGATTCATCGAGTGGTACATAGCATTTGAGGAAATTGCGTGGGTAGATATTTGGAGGTTGCGGAAGATCCCCAGGTACGATATCTAGAGAGTTGATTTAGATCGGACCGGTATTACGGTATTACGGGCTTCAATTATAAGCTAATTTACAACAACAGTAGCGCTGAACGAACTATACATATTAGTACGAAGACGGAGAGAGTGAAGACTCACCTTTTATCGTCAGAAGCGCTGCCAATCGACCCAATCTTGCTTCAATGTCCAAGGTCTATCCTTGTCGCTCAAATTATATCACATTGTAGAAACTATTGCAAATGCATCTGAAAAAGCAACGACTAGGTTAGGATTAGAGACTGTAACATATTGGTAGACCTAGCGTTGTTTCCTGCCCTTCAAATTCCATTGCTTGTGACGTTGACTTCCGCTCTGAGGCACAGTAACTTACCGCTTAAAGATCGCTGTCGACTTTTCGATTCTCCATCCGGCCGGGCATCTTTTCCAAACGACCTTTTCACATCGCCATGTCCACCGGCAACGACATCCTGGAACCCCTCTATCCGTACTTGGCGCAGGTGCAATCTTTAGCCTCCCCGTACATCTCGCAACTGGAGACGGTCGCGGCACCCCTCATCCAAGATGCAAAGATACGCGTTGCTGATCTACAAGAGCTTGCAGCTCCTTACGTTGGCCCACTATTTGAATACGCCGAGCGGGTTGAGGATGCGCTACCTACCTTCTCGTACCCTATCGCCTATGTTGCGGCGGCAGCCATTGTGCTACACGTGGCCAACTATAATTTGACCGCTCAGTTGGAGTACCATACTAGAATTTTCACCAAGGTGTGTTGACGAGCATGGAGAAAAGCTATTGTGACGTCGTTATTTCCAGCCCATCGAGAACGCAGAGATCTGTAAATGTGGTATTGATGCAAACTAAACGGCAATCTTGCAGATCTTTCGTTCGCCCGCGGTATACTTGTACGCTCTGTACCTCATTGCCTCCGCATTGGTCCGCGACCATTACGTTATGCAAGCAGTCGAAGGGGATGTGAACTCGGTATGGCGAATGCGAAGAAGCTGGTCTCCGTTATTTTCTCAACTGATTAACTCCCCGATGCCTCGCTAGTACATCTTGTTCTCCAAGGAAGCCGCAAAACTCATTGGACACACCTTAATCACGTTTGGGATACTTTTGAATCTTTGGACCCTGAAGGTATTTTGCAACCGTCACGCCGATATTGTCTAAGCAGATCAATTTGACGCCCATTCCCGACAGGCTCTTGGAATCAAGGGCATGTACAACGGTGACAGCTTTGGACACTTGATGGACGCCCCTGTATCTGGTGGCCCGTACCGTTTCTTCAACGATCCTCAATATGTTGGCACAACTCTTGCTTTGTTGGGATACGCGGTCAAGTGCCAGTCATGGACCGGATATGGTAAGTGCAGCACTCTAAGATGCCCTCTTGGACGGTGGATACTAACAACCCGTCCTTCGCTAAATGCAGTGTTGACGGCGGTTCTATTCACTACCTTTTGGATTTCAGTCAAATTCGTAGAGGTAAGCTGAAAGTGGCGATAGGGACGTTAAGACAACCACCAATTCTTTCCTTCAGGGTCCCCATATGAATCGTATCTACGCGAATAAAGGAAAGAAAACAACGGCAGCGCAAGGATCTAAGAAAACGCCTAGGAGAAAGTTTGACTAAGAAGAGGTCGTATTTCATAGAGATAGGATGTTTACAGAGTCACAGGCCATAGTATTTTGCTATTAATCGACATTGCCGCGACATTTTGCCGCGTTGAGTGCGCACGAAAGCGACCAACAAATAAATATATTAGGACTTCGTGGCGTCGGTAGCCTTATCAGTTTAATGCTCTTTCGTCCATTCTTCAGTTCCCACAGTCGTCAACTGCGATACTTCCGCTGTTTAGGCCGTCACACTACCGTTGCTGTTTCCTTCTTCATCCTCATCCACTTCTTCATTCTCATCCTCGTCCTCCGTTGATGATGCCGGAGATCCAAAAAGCCACCGCCTTTTGGGAGATTCTGACGGCGAAGATGTGGGAGTTCCTCCTCGGCTTCGATTCCTGCGTCCGAAGAGGAGTCGGGGCTGCGTCACGACAAGACTGGAACGTTAGAAAGTGATACGGTTATTTGAAGTGTCCCTATACTCACCAGGCCTTCTTGTCCAAAAAGTCCGATGAATCCCCGGACTAGCTCCGAGCTCATATCCTCCCAGTATTCGAGTGTATTCTTCCATTTGTGAGGTAAGTCGTTCTTGGTGTCCTCCCAGTTACGGCGAATACTGCTTTCCCCTTGCTGCAGGCGTGATTGAAGGGACTGCTTGATAGTTCCTATCCGAGATTTCATTCGGATTTCCTTTTCCTGCACAGGGAACAAGAAGCCATTTAGCAGTGCGTCACCGATACGAATGGGTTTGTTTAACCGTACTTTAAAGAAAGAGATATTCAATTCCTTGGGACTGACTCCTCTCTCCAAATTGCGTCGCACATATGCGTCGTAATCCCTTACGATACGTGTGATGAGATCACTTGTACTGACTCCCTCTGTCCTTCTCGTGGGTATAAATCGCCCTGCTTTTTTGACAAATGCGTATACATCATCATGGTCGCCGCTTTTGTAGGGTATATCGTCGTGCGCAACATAGTCGATTCTATGCTTGTCAAGGAACTCCTGATCAATGACCCACGGCGCATCTGGAACAACTTCATCAACCCATTTGCAGTGACGCAGGGACTCATAGCGTTCTGTGTCCCGCATCACTGTTTTGCCCTTCTTGGAGTGAGTGACTTGATCGTTACAGACTACGATTGTCATTCATCATTGTTAGCTCCCACAACACTTACATTAGAGAACAGCGCGACCCAAGTGGCATACCTCCAACGAGCAACTCCACGTTTGGAAAAACTTTCTTTGCCTGCTCAAGCGCCTTGGCATGCCCAAAGTGAAAAAGGTCCCAAATTCCATCGCAGTATATCCTCACAGGTCTATCTGTCGGCGGTGGTTGCAAGTTCGCAGGCAATCCGCTTTCGCCTACCCGGCTCGCGTCTACCATATGCAAAGCAAGTTCGGCGCCCGACCCTAAGGACGAGCTGTCATCATCAGGCGTCGATCCGTCCCGATCCATTTTGGTATCCACGGCCATGACGCTAGGTACATGCTTGACTGCATCGCTCTTCCTCCGTGATTTCGTCGGTCTTTCTATGTCTGTTTCACCAATTGGTGAACTGTTCACATCCTTGTCATCTACTCCCTCCGGGGTGTCCAAGGATGGATATAGCCGAGATGGGGACACTGTGTTGGGTTCTGAGGAGGCGACTCGTTTCCGCTTCGGAGGTGTCATTGTCGCTTTCGTTGCGTGGCCTGGAGCTTTGGAACCTAGCCTTTCATCACTGCTATTGTCCATGAACGGTGACGCTTTTCCAAATCGGGATATATTAACATCAGCTGCTTACGTAAAGCAAGCGCTGCCAGGAGGTTTGACAGTTCCTGCGTTTTGCGCCATTGGTTTTCCCTCGTCGAAAAATTGCTGCAGCTATGAGCGCCTCGGGAGACCACCAGCTCGGCGTTACTCCCCGCTCCTATCAGTATGAAGTGTTGGATAAGGCAATCGATAGCAATGTCATTGCCGTGCTCGACACTGGAAGTGGGAAGGTGAGTGCTTGAAAACCAGTCACGTCAAACTGAGTACTTGGAATGTCTGAAACCCAAACGTAGACCTTGATATCGGTTATGTTGATAAGTCACATGGCTCGCCTCGAGCAAAAACGCAGGGTATGAAAATACTGATTGACCTGTTTTTAGTGAATGCGTTGCCTCTGATCTACATACACTGTAGACTGAAAACCCAGGTTTACGGACTAGGCTTAGTGTCTTCCTTGTTCCTTTGGTACCGCTGGTTCTGCAGCAGGAGGAATACGTCAGGAAACACTGTAATCTTAAAGTCAAACACTATTATGGAGCAATGCGTGTGGATGACGTGAGTCTGAACCTCGAGAGGGAGGATTTTGATGTATCAATAAATTGCGGCACATTGACAGTGGTCTGAAGAACGATGGAAAAATGAAGTCAGCGAAGCAGAGGTGATGGTTATGACAGCGGACATTTTCAGAAATATGCTGTGCCGTGCGTATATTGCAATGGAACAGGTTGGTTTGGCGCATCATTGTTGAATCTGCCTCTTATTGAAACTTGTGTTTATTAGATAAATCTCATTATTTTTGATGAGTGTCATCATGCACGTAAAAACCACGCATACAATCAGATCATGGGAATTCATTATAAACAATGTCGAGAGTCAGGGAGGCCGAAGATTTTTGGCATGACAGCATCGCCGACATTTGGCAAGGAAAGCTACCAAAGCTCTATAATGTACGGAAGTCTATGAATTCATTCTTGAATCACAGCTTATGGATGAGATTTTAGGCAAATCGAAGGAAATCTTGATGCAAGAGCAGTCACGGTAGATGTTGCAGAGGTATCCCCGCATGTACCGCGTCCAAAGCAAACAGTCGTCTACTACAAAGGCACGGAGCGTGCTGATCCACCGGCTCTTTATTATCTTGTGAAACAATATGGCGGGCCTGCGGAAGAGGAATTGGCGGCTGCTCTCAAGAAGTCCCTTATCCTCTGCGAAGAACTGGGAACATGGTGTGCAGCACGGGCGTTAGAAATGGCGGTTCTGGCTACAGATGCACGACTTAAACGGTCTCGTGTCCTTCAATGGCACAATGGTCGACCGACAGAGGAATGCTCTGAACCGAAGGAGTTGGAAAAAGTTGCCGCTTTTGCCAACCTCAAGAGCTATGTTATGACGTCCCCATTTTGGTTCGATAACTTGTCTTCTCCGACTGCAAATGACCTGTCGCCGAAAGTCATGACTCTTCTAAAGGTGCTTGAAGAGTATCGTAACTGCAAACATTTCTGCGGAATTGTTTTTGTTCAGCGCAGAGCTACGGCACGTGTCCTCGATCTCGTCATCAAGAGATGGAAAGGTTTAGAATTTGTAAAATCCGATATCTTGGTTGGTCATGGAATCGGATCCGCCAGTCCAGCAGACGTAAACCTACGCGTGCAGCAGCAAAGGAAGATTGTTCAATCGTTCCAGAAAGGCGAAACAAATCTAATTATTGCAACCAGGGTAAGCTTCCCAGAAACAATCCGTGGTCTTCCTGTAATAATAACGTTCTTTCTTAGGTTGCCGAAGAAGGCCTTGATATCAGAGCTTGTAATTTAGTCATACGGTGAGGATCATGCACACGACATTGCATAGACGAGGAACTGACCGACAATCGGCTAGATTTGATGTTTGCATCACCTTAACGAATTATATACAATCCAGAGGGCGGGCAAGGCGCATGGATTCAGAATTCATTACGCTCTGCAATCGCAACAGTCCCTCCGAGGCCGTGCAGCTTGCAGAGTTGCAACGAGAAGAGCAATTAATGCGGGCTGCTCTCCAAACGCGAGAATCCCTGACAGGCTCCATGGAGTCAGCTGTACAACCGTCTGACGAGGAAATCTATACAGTCGAATCCACTGGTGCTTCCGTGACACTGTACACGTCAATCGGAATGTTATATAACTATTGTGCCCTCTTACCTACAGACAGCGTTGGTGCATTGACACCCACCTTTCAAATCGCCCCGGTACCCGATTTGGCCTATGGGCCGTGTGAGTTTAAGGCAAGCGTGACGCTCCCGCCCAGTGTGCCAATTGAGGCTCGTTATGCGACCAGCAAACTTTGTGCCCGCAAAGCTCTGGCAAAGCAATGGGCTGCGTTGGAGATCATAAAGAGGTTGCACGCAGCTGGAGAATTGGACGACCGATTGAAGCCGATCAAAGCCGTATCTCAAATTGCGGGATTTGACGAAATGGTTGAACCTGTGGGAACCGGTGGCGATACTGAGCGAAAAAAGAGGCAAATCCTCGAATTTCGGATGAAAACACCGGTTTTCTGGAGGGGTTCTTGGAAGCCTCATCAGCCGACATGGTTAACCTTAGTTCGGATGCATGTCGATAATGGAAATAAACCAACATCAGATATTGGACTGCTGACTGTTGGTGAAGGTCCAATGCAGAAGGGAATTTTTCATATGTCGATTGCAAACAGGTTAACCGCGGTTGAAATTCAGTCGTCCAGATGCCCCCTTGATTTGGATTTGCCAACGCTAGCATCCGTAAAGAGGTTTCACGTGGCACTCTTCAAGGGCATATTGCGGAGTGATGTCCAAGATGAAGCGGAATGGGCGACCATCGTAGTACCGGTAGTGGAGACACTGACGGATTGGACCGCCTTGGGGGATGCATTCGATCCTCGAGCAGTCATTGATTGGGAAAGCGTCGCTTTTGCTTCGCGAGCTCAGCAGCCATTGCTTGACCAAGATGGGAACTTGACTTGCGCGAACCTTCAAGCTGTGGTTCTACACAGCCGCGTCCACCATAATCGGCTATACTTGGTTGATAAGGTCCATGATCATTTGACACCGTACAGCGATTGGCCGATAGAGGAAGGAAAGTTTCCAACACTTGGACGGTATTATGAAGCTCGTTTAAAATATCCGGAACCAATTCACACCGCACAACCGATAATTAAAGCTCACCGTTTACCTTACATTACGCAAACGACAATGGAAAAGCAACCTACTTCGGCTGCCTACCTCATTCCCCAATGCTGCACTATCTACCCGATACCGGCGCACATTATGCGAGGTACTGCTCTGCATTTACCCATACTCCTTCAGCATTTGCAACATCGATTGCTGGCTTCGGATCTAAAATACTACGGGTTTGACGATTTCATGTCAGACGACTATCTGCACGGTAGCGTTGAAGATCTCCAGGCTGCGCTAACTGCCCCTGTAGCAGATCCTACAGTCAATTACGAGCGCTTAGAAACGTTTGGAGACAGTTTCCTGAAAATTCATCAGTCCCTGCACTTGTATGCATCTTACCCAACATGTCATGAAGGACGCTTAAGTCTCATGAGAAACGCACTGGAGCGCAACACTGCACTGAGAGCATGTGCTATGAAACTCGGGTTGGAAGGCTATGTCTTGGGAACAGGGCTGTCGAGACGGGAGTGGACACCTCCAGAGCAGCTAGGAGGTGGAGGATCTGTTCATAAATTGAGCGACAAGACTGTGGCCGATGTTGTAGAAGCTATAATCGGAGCATGCCTATGCGGAGGTGGCATACGGGGAGGAGCTGGCGCTGTCGTCAAACTTCTTGGACATGGATATGAATCTGACTGGAGCATTTACTCCCAAAAACTTGCGGAAAGCCGGCAGTCTCGGACTTTCACAGTAATGGAGCCAATCGTTCGGCAGGTGGAACAAGCGATCGGTTATCAATTCAAGGACATGACTCTTGCTATTGAAGCGTTAGTTCATGCGAGTGAAGCTCGTGCTGTAGCTGAAATAGGATCGTATCAACGTCTCGAGTTCCTTGGTGCGTAGTGAAGAAAGGTTTGGATGCGGCTTATGACAACTCACCAAAAGCTCATTGGCGCTGTAGGCGATGCGGCACTGGGATTTGTTGTTACTCGACACTTGTACGCAATCAGCCCTCCCCTGTCACCTGCTGAGCTCTCAGAATTCCGGTCCGAGTTGGTAAACAACCAATTCCTCTCATGGGTTTCGTGGACACTGGGTCTCACGAAACACATACAATACAATGATGCGGCTCTGGAAAGTGCCATCGCGCATTTTGGTCATCAGATGGAACGCGTGACGGGTGGGGTACGCACACCTAGATTCAAAACATCCGCGTTAAAAGGACCCCTCTATTGGAAAGAGCTCGACGCGGCTCCAAAGTCGACAGGGGATGTATATGAGGCGATACTCGGTGCAGTGTTTGTTGATTCAGGGTTCGATGTCGAAGCTCCTTGGGGTGTCGTGCTACGTACTTTGATAGACCCGTGGTGGCACCTCTTTCAGGAGGCTGGATGCGGGACAGCTCAATCCAAATGCGTGCGGTCTGCGGATGAGACGAATCCTATCGGCGAGGCATATGAGTGGACGCAGAAGATGAGATGCGAGCGGTTGCAATTTACGTATGGTTCCAGTTGATTTTCTATTTTCTCAGAGGTGGCAGTCAAAGACTAATTATGACGAAACTTTGCCCAGCATCGAAATCGATGAGGAAGCCGGTGTAATTAGATGCACATGCACGTTTCATGATGTGCCTATTGGATGTGGTGAAGGCAAGAACAAGAAAATCGCTAAGCGCATAGCGGCAGAACACGCCCTGACCTTTCTGAGGTCGATCGATCGTTGTGCATGTCACCAGGAGGGTAAAAATTAATACTTCATGCATTTAAGAAGAGCTTGAGACTGGCGTATTACAATCCTATTCCCAAGCGACATTCACATCGTAATGGGGGCCGCTCAGCTATGGGGCGGATGCCGTCATAGCTGAGCGGGCCTGTTACGATGTGGATGTCATCTGTAAATGTGGTTTGGGGCGCATGTAGAGCTCACTATATGATAATATTTAAATTGCGTTTTGACAGAGATGAGGATAAATAAGATGGGGATTTTCTATTTGGTCACGTATCCACCTCATGCTTTCAAGGTCCATGCCAATTTCTTGCCAGCCAAAAACGGAACAACCGATCGCTCATGTCCTTCGTCGTCGGTGTATGTGTATTCTTTGGGAACCACATATTCTTGTTTGAAGAGGGTCGCTACCGGTGCCGTAGATGCCCGTGTCGGCAGTTTGTAGAACGCTCGTCCGTTTTCGCAAGCAAATGTCTGCAGTTTGTCCAATGCACCAAAAGATTCTAAAATAGTGGCCAGGTAGGGAAGAACAAGGGGCGTTGTGAATACTCCAGCGACTGCAGTGCTGGACTCTTTGGTATGGCGGGGATGTGGCGCAGAGTCTGTTCCCAGGAAGAACCGCGGATGACCTTCCTTCACAATGGCTCGTAATGCTTCGCGATCATGTGGATACTTTGCAACAGGTTTGCAAAAGTGATGACATTGGCCGGCCCAATCATCAACGATTAAACTGAGGTGGTGGACGGTAATACTACAACCGACAGTTGCACCAAGAGACTTCACCTAAGATCATGGACGTAAATATGATACTAAGAATTTTCAATGACGTAAATACGGATTTATACCATGTCGACGGCGGCCTTTGTTGTTGCATGTTCCAGTACGATACGCAGGTTGGGGAAGTCGCGATGCAATTGCTCCAAATGCTTCAAGAACCGCTCCTCCGCATTCATTACGCATACACCCTATCATTTGTCCATGTCAGTCACAATGTTTTCTGGAATGAATCTGAAGTCCCTTTTGCCCGACCTCTTCTGCATCGCTTGGGATCTCTCCGTGCAGATTCAAAACCATGTCGACCTCCTCCATGGCCCTGAAAACTTCATAATATGCGGTGTAGCTTTCAATACCACTGTCGCTATTCGTGGTAACGCCGCGAGGATAAGACTTTACACCTAGAAGCGATCCTCCATGAGCCAGTGCTACCGAGACAACGACTTTACTAGCGTACCCGCGACTCCAGCTTTGGCTGCCTTGCGAATTTCTTCCGGAGTCAACTCAGGTGTCAAGTAGAGTGTCATAAGGAAGTTTACGTTTGGCGCCAGTGCCTCAAGCTCTGCTTTGTACGCAAGCGCTTGTTCGGTGGTGGTCACCGGCGGTTTCAAGTTTGGCTAGCAATGAGGCAAGTATGAGGCATGAATAGCTGATATAAGGAGCACGTTCATGCAGCGAGTCTTACCATCACATAGGCAGTTGCCACTCCACTTGTTTTCAACAACGGAGTAACTGCCCGCATGAGGGCACCTTGCCTCAGGTGCGTGTGGAAGTCGTCAGCCAAAGGGACGCTCAAAGTTGTGATTGACATCTTTCAAAAGACAGCAGCTCTTGTTAGAAATGTATGCTGAATCTAAAGGGAACATGTGCATGTCTTTCTCACCGTTTATACGCCGTATTGTTAAAAAATACAGTGCACTCTGCTGAAGCTGTTGTTGCCATGACAACAGATGATACGTTTGTGCGCAGCAACGTGTGGATCGCAACTGTTCCAAACTAACTTCCACAGCTGCATGACATCGTAGACTTTATTGGGGAGCCCTCTTCCCACATTTCTCTGGGACGGCAAAAGACTGCCCTCCTTCTGCCTAATGCCGCTGACTACTCGACGTCGGGACTCAAACATTATGGCGTATACCCCATCCCCTTCTCTTCCGCACCCTACGGGCCTGGGACGACGAGGCACGGCGATGCGCGGGGGCGTAGGCCTGCTCATGAAGTCTCTTCTGGGCTTGCTTGTTCTTGTCGTTATTGCATACTGGATGCTGGAAGAGTCTGTTGTGAATGTGAAAGGTATGCCTCGGCAGTAACCGTGGCACACGCGTGTGTGTTTCTCGAATATGTGCTAACCTTTACACCGTGTTGCCTCAAGACCCTTTTCGATCTTTGAAGGAGATGGTGTATCATTCATGCTCACCGCCTGCAGGGCTTCCCGCCAAGCAGTATGCCTTGGTGATAGACGCGGGATCGACGGGCTCGCGGATCCACGTTTATAGATTTAATCATTGTGACGGTCCATCGCTGACCCTCGAGGATGAAATCTTTCAACAACTGAAACCAGGACTGAGCTCTCCAAAGTTTGCAACACCTGAAGAGGCTGCAAATTCATTGGATCCGCTATTGAAGATCGCGTTGGAAGCGGTACCGGCAAATGTACAAAAGTGCACTCCTGTCACAGTGAAGGCGACTGCAGGACTGCGAATGCTCAAGGATGGGAAAGGCGAGCAGATATTAAAGGCCGTCAAAACCAAGCTGCAAACGGAATACCCATTTGCGCTGATCGAGCCTGATAGTGTTGCTATCATGGCGGGGAAAGATGAAGGTACGATTTGATCGCATAGATGGATAGCAGTGACAATGTAGTCTTCCTTATTGATATGCCTGATCTAGGAGTATTTGCGTGGATAACAGTAAACTATCTTTTGAAGCGGATTGGTCAGAAGGATCGCAAAGAAACAGCGGCAATCATGGATCTGGGCGGTGGATCTACGCAAATTGTTTTTGAGCCGCATCCATCAACCCCCATGGAGCCTGGGGACCATAAATATGAATTGCAATTTGGCGACCATAAGTATATCCTCTACCAGCATTCATATGACGGTTATGGGTTGATGCAAGGTCGAAAGCGACTGAAGCAAGCCGGTGTTGCCGGTAAAAAGTGGCCTTGTTACGCGCTAGGTCACAAAGACGAGTATCTGGACGACGAGGGAACGGTCC